AAAAACATAAAGATTGTACTTTGAAGACCAAGGAAATGAAAGAGCTGATTTCAAATTCTGTCTTCACACAACCCCAGTTCTCCCTCTTGTCAAACATGGGGCTATGGATCCTTGTAATTCTGGCCAGCAGCAGCAGCATGAGGTTTGGAGCAGAGCAGAGGTTCTCATGTCTGCTCTGCATCTGTTCTGAATTTCCAGGGACTCCCATGATAACAACATGAGGACGAAACAGACGGCGAAGTCAAATGGGGCAGGAAACACAGCTTGTGCTCTCGCAAGCCCAATGTGGTTACAGTTGTATTTACCTTATGCCAACATTCAAAGCTTTGGCTTTAAATAAGTCGAATGTTCAGCAAATGAATATTTTGATCGTGCTGCCCTCTTCTCAAATGAGCTACCTGGTTGGCTTAATTCTTCCCATTGCTTGCCCAGTGGAAATTAGCAAGTGCCAAGAGGAACCAAGCATAGTCACAAAAATGTATCACCTTTAGATCTTAAATGTAACTTTAGCCAGAGTCCAAGTGAGGATAAGATACCACTAATATAACATTTTTTTGTTATAAACCTAGCAGTGTGGGGGAATTCAAATCCATTTTGAAAGTTTTCTTGTTTTTTAGGATCCTCTCAGTCCCAGAAGCAGGCACCAGTGGTGCACAGGCTCTCCCAGCTGTGTGCCCCTTGTGTCTCTTACTGAATTACGGCCTCCGTAAGCATCCTGATGACTAGCACAGGAGTGCGGGCACTGACCCCGGAGACACAGATGCACATTGCAGCGTGGCCTGTCCTTGTCAAGTAGCCCCGTGAGGCCGTGGAAGGTTGTGGCCTGGCCGCTATGCTCTAGCTTGCTTTTTGATAAGCCACTCTCTCAGATTGTAAACTCTGCTCACTCAGGAGTCTGAAAATCTACATATCTGTAAAGCCAGGTTTTGGAGGAAGGTGGTAAGTCTGGGGTTCATAGGGTGTAGAGCTGAGGGCCTGGATTTTGTATGCTTGCCCAGGAGCTCAGGTCCACTTTCCTTAAGCACAACAAGGTTGAGGTCTAGCAGAAACTCTGACCCCTCCCTAGAGTGCCTGCTCTGTCCGACATCACTTGGTTCCTCGGTGTTTCCCACAGGAGCTCAGGGAAAGAACAATGTTAATATTCAAAATAATTAACAGGAATAGCCCAGGCATCAGAGCAGGTCTTTTGTAGCTCTAGACATTGCCTGGGGTGTTAGGCTTTAACCTTTTAGTTTCAGGTCCAGGGGAAGTCAAGGAGGCCCCATTGGAGGGTCTGAGTATCAGCACTGAAAAAGACCTCCAAGCTGTAGTCAGAGGAACATCATTTTGCCATCCCAATTTGCCACTATGTATGTGCTAGGTGAAATTGCATAATCTAAGCCTCAATTTCTTCATCTGTGAAGTGGGTTAATAATACTTTGCAGGATTGTGAGGATTACAAGAACCAAAGTATGGTAACAATCTTCAAAGAATGACTGACACAAACTGATCATTAAAAGTGGGTGGTTATCAAATGCAGGCAGCTTGTTGCCTCAGTATTGCCCTTCTGCCTGCATACAGTGAGGATGGGGACCATGGGAGGCCTTGTGTTAGGGCTGCTGTTGTGATCTGCTGTTTACCTTTGGGGAGGATGGGCACTACAGGACGGAAGTGGTGAAGGGAGGCGTTGTTCCTGGGCCTGGGGCTACAAGAAGGGCTTCTGAGTCTAGACTGCCACAGCCATAGGCTCTGCCAGATGCTCAGCAGCCTGCTTTCCGATTTGTAGGTGCTTTCAAAGACGCACATGATTATGAAGACGCTTAGCTACTGCTTCTCCTTCTGAGGCCCTAGTGGCCAACTTCGGCCTTCAACCTTGTAACTAAGCACTGCGCTGCTGCGCTGCATGTGCCTTTCCCTCCAGCAGTCTGTCCACGCTTGCAGCTCCCTTCCAGGTGCCACTGTGTTCTTTAAACCATCTCCTGGATGTGCATCTGGTCTCGCGATACGAGCAATCGCTACTGAGCAGGATAATGTCTTGTGGTCCATCTCGTGGCACAGAGAAAATCACTCACCTCTTTGTAATACCAGGCTCATTAGAAGCAGCGTTTGTTTCGTCTGATGTCACAGCTGGGCCGCATTCACCACTGGTCGTGGCCCTGTGTACTCGGCTATCCACAAAGCTCTCGGCATCAGTGGGGTCATGAGGCCCAGTGAAGTGTTTTCCTTCTGTGTCTAGTGGATGCATTAACCGCGTAGTTAGCACACTCACTTATGGGCATTTAAACAGGTTATTTCCCAAACTCCTCTAAAGCAACCAATAAACCAACATTTGTTTTCACTTTCTTACTGTGATGCCGTGGAGTGGCTTGAAGGTGCTTAGAAAATGATGCTTGGGTGAAGCAGGGAAAAAGGCAGAAATGGATGGAAGAGGAAGGGGCAGCTTTTTGTTGCCACGCAGCAACCCGTATTAACTGTGTTATCCTCTTTAGACATTGGATATCCTTTAAAAAAAAAAAAAGAAAAACCTTTCTGAGCCAACATTTGCTACATCTAATATGATTTTATCCTGATGAAGATTTTATGCAGGGCTGGTGCAGGTCTGGTTTCTTAGGAGAACAAAGTGGGTTAGGAAATTCAGGTGTGCACTCACAGTGACACCAAGTGGAATCTCTAACTCCTGATTTTCTGTTTGTTCCCCTTAGAGACCAGAGCTGACCACAATAAATTTACTATCTCCCACCGTACTGCAGCTCTTTCCCTTCTCTCTAAGTCCCTGAGATCCTGACTCCACGATTGTTTCCTGATGCACAGAGCTAGAGACCAATTTAAACTGAATGGAAACCTCTCAGCCTACCTCCCCAGCTTGCAAGGAAAGGCCAGGATTCTCGGGAGAGCCGAGAGCAATGATGGTGAACCTTCTATAGACTGAGTGCCCAAACTGCAACCCACAACCCACTTATTCACAGCAAAGTGCCAACACAGCAATTAAACCTGAACACTGAGGTTTTAGTTTAGAGCAGAAACAACTCTACATTAACATCTTTTGTCTTAAAAGAAAAATGAAATGACACACGTGCCATAGGTTCACCACCATTAGCCTAGAGAGAAAGAACTCATAGAACCCTCCAGAAGCACCATTAGGGCTGCCTTGGTGACTGGTGATGGTCGTCTGCTACAGGCAGAGGCTTGAGTCACTTTGGAAAAGCCACTTTGACCTGGGTGCCTGTGAGTCAGTGCCATATCTTGGCCTCGTCATGTGGCTGCTTTGGGCATTCGGACCAAAGGGGACTTGCTCATGGGTCAAACTCCAGGTTTACTGTTCAAGGAAACTTTTCATTCCTGCCCACTGGATACCCAACCCCGAAGGCTGTTCTGGCAGTTGACTGTTGTGTCTTCTCCATGAGTTGATAATGGAAACGACTTCCCATCAGCCTTTGCAACTGCCCATGGCAGCCAGTGGGAGCTGGCAGAGCTTACTTTCCTCCTTGAAAGCTGATTACTGTATCCTGACAGACTGTATCCTGAGCGGGTTTTCCCCAGGGGAGATGCTGGAACGTATTTTGTGCCTTGTTCATTTGCTGTGACATGTGTTGTTGACTTCCAATCTCTGATGTGTCTCTTTGTTTTCTGTGTGTTGCAGGCAGCATAGTGTACCTCGGGATGATGGTGGGGGCGTTCTTCTGGGGAGGACTGGCAGACAAAGTGGGAAGGAAACAGTCTCTACTGATTTGCATGTCTGTCAACGGATTCTTTGCCTTCCTTTCTTCATTTGTCCAAGGTTATGGCTTCTTTCTCTTCTGTCGCTTACTCTCTGGATTCGGGTAAGGTTTTCTCCTTCATATTTTATAATAATGTGTTTATTCATAATTGTGCATGTGCTTCTCCCTAAAAGAACTCATTACCAAGAAATTATCTCTCTTTTTTATGGTCCTGGAGGTTTAACCCAGTACTGAGTTACATTTTGCCCTGAGCTATATCCCAAGCCCCTCCACCTTTTTAATTTTTTTTAAAATTTGAAGTCAGAGTCTCACTAAATTGCTAAATTGCCCATGGTGGGCTCAAACTTGCCATCCTCCTACCTCAGGCTCCCAAAGTGCTGGGATTATAGGTGTGTGCCACCACTCCAGCTCAGAAATGACCTCTTAACACATCTCTTCCTCTGTTTTTGTGTCATCCTCACAAGCCACAATTCTGGTTCTTCAGAATGTGATTATCAACCTTTTGAATCTGGGGTAGAAGCAAAATATGCCTGTGTCCCCAAAGCCAATGATTTTATGTATCACTTCGAGGAAACTAGTATTGTTTTAAATGGAATGCTATTTCCAAACCAGAGCACATTTATACATGTGTTTCTTCTGAAATTTTAATTTAAGAAAAAAGTACCTATTATTATGAAGTACATGTTCCAGACATTTAGGGAGACTTAAATTGAGAGTTAGAGGGTCTCAAGCAACTGTGGGTTTATTGATCTAAGTTATCTAAGTGCACTGAAAGAGATACGACATACGAGATCTGCTTCTTGGGACAAGTTATTTCTGTCAGTTCCACTGAATGAGCAGACATCATGCTTTTGACCAGCCACAGTGGTGGAGGACAGCCAGCCATGCACTCATCTTCTCCAAAGAGTTTGAAGCTCCACCTAAGGGAACCTACTAGATTGTGAAAACTCAGTAGCTTCATGAGAAGAGTATGAGAAACTTGGTTCTAATAAAAATAATGCATAGAAATATAAAATTTTGGATTCATGCTTGAGAATTTAGAGACATCATGGTGATGATGTAAATTATATTTTTAAACGTTTTTAAATGTAGAGCAGGAGATAGAGCTGGGTTATGAATTTGAGGATTTACCAATTGTGGCTACTGATAGTGCATTACAAGCTATACAGCGGGTAAAACATGGTGAAAACAGCCAGGGAGCCCCAGCAGATCTTTCTCACTTACATGCAGTCCCGCCCCCTTAGCTCCTCATCCTCTACACTCTGCATGTGATGGACATTAGCAAACATTTTACTAATATGCACACATTTAAGCAGCGTTCCTTAGAGTGGAGACAGTGCTTCCCACCAAACCAAGATGAGTAGAGCTTAGGAAGGTGGAAAAATATCTTGTCCTTGGGAGGAAAAATGATCAGAATCAAACATTTCCTCTGTGATGAGGGGTCTTGTCCTCAGCAGAGGGGGCCTTTGGCACTCAGTCTGTGTGAAATTGGCACAGCTGACATGGTGAGTGTCTTAGTTAGTTTTCTCTCACTGCTGAGAAAATACCCAACACCCAAAAGAGGAAAAGATTTATTTAGGTCACAGTTTGTAAAGATTTCATTCCATAATCAGCTGGCTGCAAGGCAGACAGGCATCACAGAGGAGAAACAGTTCATGGTGAGCAGTAGGCAGCAAAGCAAGCCAGCAAGGGACAAGACAAGCCTCTTTCTGTCCCTTATATTGTATCCAGGCTACCAGATTAGGGCAATACCAAACCAGTCAGTGGACTGACTTACAATCATTCACCCTTAATCCTAGCATTGCACTATAAATCAGTCATACTATAGATCCAGCTACTTCTGAAAAAGCCCCACCTATGACTGCATGAGGTTTTGGGGGAACATCTAGATGTAGGTCATAACAGTGAGGAATTTTGGATCATGAATTTATGGCCTACAGCAGACCCCAATGTAGAAGGAATTGAGCTACCTAACAAAGAAAAAGTAGTTTTCAGGGCTATTAATGCAAAGATCTTCCCAGTGAGTAGATCCATGGGACAACACATTCTTGTCACCTTTTATTGCCTATGAAATACCACCAGCCTGTCAGGAGAAAGCTGACATCAGAGGAGCTGGACTTCACAAAGGTCCTTCCAGTCTGCAATCTTCTCCAAGAAATTTCAGTGATAGCTATCCACCCAGAAGTACCTGACTGTGGTCAAACTGCTATGGCAACTTTAATTGCTGATTTGTATTGTAAAGTCAGTTGACTTTTAACCCAATTGACTCTCAAGAAAAAGGACCATTATGGTACCTGCAAAACACTCCAAGCCAGTAGCCACCCAGAAGCTAATTTAGGGGTGATCTAGAAGCAGAAATTATTTGGAAATATTCCTGATATCATCCATATCCCTTCATGGATAAATTGTCCTTCAGCCAGCAGGTCAGAGCAGCTGAGCTCAAATGAACATAACTGACCTGGCAGAGCGTGGGCAGGGTGCTGCTGACACAGGCAGGTACTGTAAATTGTGACACCAGAGGCTGCAGCACTGTAGCAGCTTTCTGACGTTGGCACAGGACTGAAAATCAAGACATCTGAGCGTCCTCCGCCCCTACCCTTTGCTGTGGGATGTGGCAGTTCCTCAGGCTCTTCAACCTGATGTGTCTTTCTAAGAGGGATCATATTCCTACCTTGCACTGAAGACAAAAAGAGATAATGTATTGAAAGAACATGGTAGAGGAGAAAATGAGGTATCACGTCTAACTGTCACCCATGGCTTGGCGTTTCCTGGTCCCTCTTTCCTTATTCTCCAGTTCATGCAACTGGGCTGACTTGTGCTTGTGCCTCTGTGTGACATAGGAGGCCTGGAGATAGGGCTCTCGTTCAGGCTGTGAATTTCGAGTCTTGCTCATGAGGGGACAGGAAGGACTAGCTATGGATGAGGGCTTTGAGAGAGCCCAGCAAGTAACATCAAGCCTGCTGCTCTGCAGAATAGAGTGGTTTCCCAGGCCAGGACAGGACCAAGTGGGGACAAGGTAAGAGTTTAGTCACCTGAACCCACATCTACAAAACATCTACATAGTTTTATGGAACCTAGCAGCTGGCTGTGTGTGTAAGGAATTAAGCTAAGAAAAATGAAGAAAGAAATCTACGTTAGGGCTCCCCAGAGACACAGAACCAGCAGGAAGGACAGATGTTTGGACCAACAGGCAGATGGGTAGGAAGGTAGTAGGTGAGGCTGAGAGTTCTGTAACAGGCTGTCTGCAGGCCAGAGACCAAGGCTGTGGGTGGCATGCCTCAGTCTAAGTCCAGAAGCCCCACAACCAGAAAAGCTGATGGTATAGCACTCAGTCTGAGGCCAAAGGGCTGAGAACCTGGGGAGCTAGGGGTGCTGGAGCAAGTTCTGAATTCAAAAGCTAGAGAATCTGGAGTTCGGACATTTATGCACAGGGAAAGAAGGGTGCCCCAGCTCCAGGGAGGCTCCACTTTTTTCTCCAGCTTTTCCCCTGCCCATCCCTGGGCTACTGGATGGTGCTTGCCCTTCCCCACTCATCCTGAGCTCACACATCAGTCGCCGTCCCAGACACACTTGGAAATGACCCATACACACACACACTCGCTATCCACATTCCCCTAATCGGGTCAGTACCCATGAGCAGTGGTCATGGACCCTGTCTCTGAGTCTCGGGGAAGTCTCTTCCCTCCAGTTCCTCCACTCAACTCAGAAATCTCAGCTCCCACTCCTCCTCCTGACACCAGGCTGGGCCTTTCAGGGCTGGAGTTGAGCCCTGGCCTGGCATTATGGAGTGCTCTCCAAACTCCGCTTTCCACGGGGCTCACAAAGGAGGAGAAACAATGACAGTATTGTAGAGGAGAAAGCAATCTTCAGTTAAAGCCCTTTCTTCTTTCTAAAGGCATGTAATGTTTCAATGCTTTATTCCTATTACTTACGAACTCAGTGCCTAAGCAACAGAAATTGGATTTTTACTTTCTGCAGTACTGTATTCAACCCAGGTCTTTCACACCAACCTACATCCCTGGCCCTTTTTTTAATCATTATTTTTAAAATTCTGAGACAAGATCTCACGAAGTCACCAAGTTGCCCAGGCTATGCTTGAACTTGCAGTCCTCCTGCCTCAGCCTCCCAGAGTGCTAAAATTATAGGCATGTGTCCCCACAACCCACTAAGCACCAGAAGTTTGATGTATTCCCTTTTTATTTAAACATTCTTTATTAGTACATAAGCCAGAAAGCTAGAATGCTCATGCTAAATCAGCCTCTGCAAAGGAAGACCCTAAATCAAAGATCACTTTATGCTTGCGTAGTTAAGCAGCTCGCTCCACTCACATCTGATCAGGTTTTAAATTGAGGAAATTAGATGGTGAGGAGATCAGGTTCCACAGGTTGGGGTGTTTCCACAGTGGGTCACCAGTGCCCAGACCCCCCAACGCCCATCCGCTCCCAGGAGCACAGTGACTGCCCAGCTCCGCACTTTGAGGTTCCACTCCCAACCCCTCTCCTCCCACCTCCCGGAGAGGTTTCCTGAGCGAGCTCACAGGGGCTCCGCCACAGCTCCGTTTTGTCTCCTTGGCAGTACTTATGGTCCATGCCAGAATCCCCTTCCTTTCTTCCTCCCTCCCTTTCTCTCCACCACCCACAAAAAGGCTTAGGACCTTGTTTTGTTCTACATACTCCCTGCTTTCAGTATCTGGCAGTCATTGTTCCAGGGCCTCAACAGATAATCTTCAAGTCCCTCACAGAAAATGCCTGTGACCTACACACATCCTCCTGTATACTTTTTTTTAAACAGTCATAAAGGGATTTATTAGGCACAATTTTTAAAATACACACTCAAGTACACACTCAAGAGAGAGGCACATTATAGCCTGGAGCTGGGCATATTTATGGTTTTCGTGGCAGTGGAAGTCTGTGGAATTTGTGACTCTATAGAAAGCTAAGGCTTGGTTTACTACAGGAGAAAAGCGATGACCACCGCAAGTGAAAAGGTGAAAGGATGCCTCCGTGGATGAGGTACAGTGCCACACTCACTGCAAGCACGATGCCCGTAGTTGTTCGGGGAAGGTGACGAAGGAGGAGTCTGTGCATGTGCAGCATGTTCCC